CACACACACACACACACACACACACACACACACACAACGAGCTTGCAGCAGCTGCAATGCTGAGCTAAACAGCTTGTCATATAATGCATGTATGCTTACATAAGTACTCGTACTCGTACTCGTACTCGTATTTCTACGCTTACTCGTACTCGTATTTGTACTCGTTCTTGTTTTTATACGCATGCGAGTGCGTGCTTGAGTTGAAGATTTTATTGTGTTTGCCTTGCGGCACAAAGCTAATAAAACTTGCAATGCATGTGCATGTGCATTTGCATTTGCACATACTCCATGTATAGTATAATTAACAAATAACAAATCTGTGCAGCACATGTCGTTAAGTCCACTTCATATCAATTGCAAGTTGAACAAACTCGGCGATTTGTCCGAAAAAGGAATAACATGGACCTGCACGAACCATTGGAAATCCCCTTGACGCTGACAGAAGCAAGTTTCAGAAGCACGTGCGTGAAAAGGTGGAGAATGGACGTGTTTATTACAAAATTGGAAAAATAAATAAATCATATAGAAAAATAGCGAAATAAACATCAAAGTCATCCCACTAACATTACAAATTCCTAAAAGTCAATGACTTTGAGCAATTAGCACTATATGCTACGACAAATTGGAAGAAATTGGAAAGGAATGAGCGTAGAGTTTTTGAAATACTTTCAAATTGTGGCACAATTAAAGCTTAAAGCGACCACCACCAAATTTTATGTTAAGCTCCTTCAACATTTTCTACGCTTAAAAATATTTTCCTTTTTAATACGATTAATGATTAATGATAAATATGCAACAGTTGGAGTTGGATCTTAAAAACAGCGGATATTTAAACAGCAAAACTTGTTTTCCTCATATATCGAAGTCTAAGAACGTAACCTCTATGTCTCGTTTAACACGATTTTCCTTAATACGAGGCTCTCTAGGAACACAACATGGGGGTTAAACGAGGGCTAGGTGTACCCCAAAACAACTTCAAGGCCACAATCAACTTGCAAGGAGAATATCTGAAAGCCTCACGGCAACAAGTCTCTCTCGTTCTTAATTTTCTTCCTATATATAGTTCGCTCTATCTCTCCCTCTCCCTCTTCCTCTCCCTCTGTCGACTTTTCGTGCACATTCAGAGACATGTGCTGGGCAAGTCATTCTTTATTGCGCTTTTGGACATTTTTGAATTTATTACCTTGCGCCAGCAAGTGTTGTGTATTGCGCGCCTACACTTCACTTAGCAGCAACAGCGCCGGCAACAATCCAACCCCCCGAACACCCACACATATACATTTCCGATACATACTCGTATATACATACATGCATTATTTTCCACGTCCAATGTTGCGATTGTTGCCGCCATTGTGTAGGCAGGTTGGCAATTTTTTTGGGCATTTGCCAAGTGTAACTTTTTGCACCTAGAATAAAATTGTGCGCAATGCGCATTCCATCGCTTCGTGGTGGTATATACTCGTAGTCCTATACGAGTACGGCACTATTTTACCCGATCCTCTTTTAATTTTTAATAACGGCACCCCACGACGCGGCGCGTCGCTCGCTGGCTTCATCGTTGTCGTTGTCGTTGTCGGTGTCGTTGTCGGGCTCTCGTTGACAAGCCAAAATGGCGCGCCTTATAGCGTAACACGTAAACACGATGCCGCGGCATCGCTTGCCTCAATGGCTGCCGGTGCATTGAACCTTCAGCAACCATTCGACAGACCAACGCGGAGGCGCCTGCTTTTGGACCTACCGCCTCCCGCCTCCCTTTTCCCCATAGTCATACAACTATATACAAAAGTCACATGGCGTTAAGAGGCAAAAAATGGCGTGGCAAGCGAGAAAATTAAGGCGTAGAGAACTGTTCACACATTCAAACAAGTTGAACAAACGAGAAGAGAAACTTGACTAAAGGCTTATATTCCAGATGACCTAGGATTTGTTTTCGATCTACAATTTTAATTTATTTATTTTATTTTATTTCAGCAACCATAGACTGTCGACATAGACAACGCAATAGACTCGTAAAAAAAGCCTTTTAAGCTAGGAAAGCTTATGTTGAAAAAATCAAATAACAATAATATCTAATAATCGCATCTAACTCGATGGGGGCATTTTATAAAAATATATATTATAAAAATAGTACAAATTTTAAATAAAACGATTAAACTTTTCAGAGAAAGGAAACTTAAAATTCATAAATTCTTTAAATTTTAATGAATAAGAGAATAAATGTAAAAAATGAGGAGGATTTATCAGATATGTGTATAATTAATATCTATAGTAATAGCGTAGCAATCCTCAGAAAACTTTTCAATTGTTCAGTTCCAATCATCAAAGAACACGTAGAGAACCGATTCCAAGAGGTTAAAATCCAATTCGAATCGAAATTCGGATTTCATTTTCAGTATTCAGATTATGTCTTAATTGTTTGTTAATTGTAATTATGTGTGAATTGTACAAAGTATATTGAGTCGGAGGGTTTTTCAATAATAATTTACTAAAAAAAAGATAGGAATGTAAAATGTTTGCCTTCAAACGTTTTGGCCATTCACTTTGTTTTTTAGCCTTGAATGTCTGAACGGGTCCGGAATGTTTGTTGGCGTGGTTTTGTAATTGGGCGCTACTCTTTTCATTTCCTTTTCCAAGATTTGTATTTAAATTTAACGCCAGTTTTTGTTGTTGTTGATGTTGTTGTTATTGGTGTTTCTGTTGCTGGCATTGCTGTCGGTTTTTGGACAAAAAATGCCCAGCCCGGCCCAGTCCAGCCCAGCCCAGCCGAAATGCTTTCATGTGCGTTCAGACGCAAAAGTCAAAACGTTTGGTTGAATGAGCGCCGAGCTCACAGGAGCTTACCGCGTTTGCTGAACTCGCTGCCCACAACGGAAAAATGCACTTTAACTTGTAGTTAAAGCCTCGACGATGATGGCCAACACCATGGGCTGGAATTAAATGGCATAACCACTTTGCCACATTCAACATTCAAGTTGTGGCCAGTTAAGTGATAAATCTTTATCACTTATTCAACAACAGCGCACAAAATTGATTAATTACACAAATAAACACTCGAAAGATGGCCCCACTCCTGCCTTATTCCCTCTCTCCCTACTGCCTCTCTATGCGGGGAGACAGAGTGGTGGGCAGGAGCCGCAAAAATCAAGCTCAACCACTTCCATTGCGCTCGGCAGGCACTCATGTCTAACTCTCATTGCTGTTCTCATGGCATTGTCCCTGCGCCGCGCCGCGCCGCACCGCGCTGCCTCGCCTAATGTCCGTCCATCAAACGGAAATAATTTATCAAAGAAGGCTTATATTAAATAATGACTTGATGACACCAATAACGAGCCGAACAATGGGGCCAAATGAGTTGACGACTGGACGCTCGTCGCTCCCCTCCCACTCTGACGTAATTAAAAAACGTCAACGGTCCTGCTGATGAGTGCGAGCCACAAATGGTATCCATGAGTATATACTAAGACGAGGAGGGAGAAAAAACAGACATGTAACAGCAAAAGTAGCAAAAGAAACTTGACTGATGGCCTTTTTCTTTGTTGGGGCTGCGGCCTAATTAGAATTCTGGACCAAACAGCACAGCACAAGGAATTATGTATATTTCTTGTTTGTTACGCTTATTATGTCGCTGGCTGTTGTGAGAAAAATCCCGTCGATGTTTAGGCAGCCACTCGACTGCTGTGCAAACAGAAATCATCGTAGGGCGAAGGGAAGCCGGCATGGGCGACAAATGGCATAAACCAATTATGGCTAAAACATCGAGTGTCAAAAGGATTTTCGTTGACTTAGGCGGGCTGTGCGGGATTGTGTCAACAACTTGCCAACACTTTTTCTGTGTAATTAACTGTTAAGTAAACAAACTGAGGGTTCTTCTTAAATCAAATAATGCCTCCGGTAAAAATTTAAGTGTATCTAGTCCTCCTTTTCACATACCCCTGCTTCTCATCCGGATTTCATTCAAAATTTCTTTCATTTTTTTAAAGGACACGAGCTCAAACGGGAGTTCTTCTCCTTCAATGTGTTCTATAAGATAAATTTGCTATTTTTCATTACAAAAATTGTTTACTCATTTTGAAAGAGCGTACTAGTCTGATGCAATATCAACAAATATGATCAAATATTCAAAATATGCAATTTTGAATATCCTTGTAATACCACCCCAACAGACATCTCTATTGTTTAGCTTTTAAGGTCATTGTTTTTTTTTATGATAATGAAAGCTATTGTAATAATAACAGCATAATTATTATAGAAAGGAATAAAATATTTTGCGTAGCCTCTGAAAAGAAAAGATTCAAATATTTTTTCCCCTAGTAATATGCATAGTCTTCTCAAAAAATATCCTTTATAGGAAGGAATTAACTAATCAATAAATAATTTTTTTTTATTGCAGAAATACATTTTAGAAAACATATATGATAGAAAACTTAAAATAATTTATATTTTTTATTTATTTTATTATTTTTATATTTGAATATCTTTCAAATGTGCATAGCCTTCTCATACTAATGCTTTCTATGGACAACAATTGTGAATAAACTTAATCAATAAATTAATTCTCTTTTCTGCAGAATATCATTTGAAAAAACAAATATGAGAAACAATTTTCAACTTAAAAAAATTTGAATATCTTTATAGCCGTCTCATAAAATAGCCATTATATGGACAGCATTCAATTGTTAGCTATTATAATAAGCTAAATCAATAATATATAGTAAATAATAAATGATTTTGACACCAGAAATTTAAGCAAATTAATTGCAAGAGTTCAACAAACTAGCTATGAAGATCAACTGCTTTTCCCCACTTGTCGTATATTATAGATGACTGATTTAGATATGTATATGTACATTTCGGCTATATTGGTTTTAGCTTCAAGTGCAGGAACAAGTGTACCTTGGAGATGGTAGGAATGAATTCTTTGAACGTTGTAACCCCATTTTGCCTCTGTTATTATTCTCTCCCACCACCCTCAGCCCCAGTTTTAAACGTCAAAATCAAACACAAGAGGCATATTTTGAAAAGTTTGTGCGTCTGTATATATATATACACTAAAAACAGACGGACAGACATACAGACAGACGCCAGACGCACGCAATCACGTTCTTACATACCACACTATACAGGTGAGTATAAGCGCTATGCATTTTCCACTCACACACACACGGTCATGTAGATACATACATATATATATATATAAATACATACATTATTTACAATGGGGAACAGACAAAGGTGGGCAGCTGAGACGAGAAGGGACGAGAAGAGATGAGACGAGCTGAGCTGAGCTGAGACGTCGGCCGTGCATTACGCGCAACTTTTTCCCATTTTCTTTTTTATATTTTGTGCAAAAATTCAGGCAGAAAAATGTTTTTTAAACGCTAAATTACTTTTGAATGGCTGCTGGATGGCTGGATGGTTGGATGGCTGGAGGGGATGTGTGAGGAGGTCGGTACAGTTTCATTTTGTGCTTCCTCATTTTGTTGTCGTAGCGTCAGCGTCTATCTCCCTTTCTCCTTTAATGTGTGTGTGTATGTGTTTTGTGTGTGTGTGTGTGTGTGTGTGTATGGGCGCGTTTTTCGTGGTAGTCAGAACAGCGGAAATGCTTATCCCAACACTTAAGCGTCACGTGCTGCCGCCCCCAAAAGCGTTGACAGCCCAAAAGACTCGAATGAACTCAGCTCCAAGGACTCTGATGTGCGCTACCTGCGCAGCTTCCTCTTCTCTGTTGGCCTCTCCTGCAGGGCAGCGTGTCTGGTGAGTCACCATTGGAACCCAGTACCCAGGCATGGAATGCTGCGTAGACCGCAATCGCAGCCGCAGGCTTCTAAGTTCATGTAGAGTGTCTGCCTGTACTATAGAAATTGCGAGGGGTGGAGGAGGAGGAGGAGGAGGACGAGTCAGAGTCAGTAAAGCGTCTGTAGGTGTTTTGAAAGTTTAGCAGAAGTGGCTTTTTAAAACACATTCTATGCTAATTAAGGGCCTGCGTTATTTTGGTGGCGGGGGGTCAGTTGGCTGGAGGCAGGTGGAACAACTCGTCGGCTCGTTTTCGGTTTCGGTATCGTTTTCGCTCTCCATCTTCCATCTACTCGACATGCTCGACTGGGAAACACCTAAATGAGTTGTCGTCATCGCGAACGTTGATGTCATTTGCCGGCGCTGTCTGCCATGCGATAAGCAAGAAACATTTTAAGTAAGCTTTGACTTCTAAGCGTTTCCAAAGTCATCAATGAGCAGATTGGCAGTATTGGCTGTTGGGAATGGGAAGACTGAGGGTGGTGGTGGGGGTGAGGGTGAGCGAGACTTATCCTTGCACAGTCCGTAAAGTTGAATTGCTGTTTACAAGCTGTCAGACCAAGAGAGAGAGAGAGAGAGAGAGAGATAGAGAGAAAGAAAGAGGGAGGCCCATTTAATTAACGAATTAGCAAAGCCAGAAGTTTTTGTGGTTTTTAAGTGATTTCGGGTTTCAACTTGCAGGCCAAAAGCGGGCAACGGGGGGAGGCAGTCGCTTTTGGGTCGCCGACGATGCTTGTTGTGCATAATTGAATTATTGCCATATGAAAAAATAAATGGAATAAGGACCAAAGTCGCTCTGCCACAGCCGACAAGCTCAAAAACAAGAAAGACGGCAAAGTTTTGTGGTCGCCCTTCTTTTTGCCGCTTCTTTTATTTAATTTTTTTCCATTGCGGCTTCCCTTCGCCTTGTTCATCTTCTTCTTCGTCAACTTCATCTTCGGTTTCGCTTCAACGCTGCCGCTTGTAAAATAATTCAAAAGTCACCGCCGCGTCACATTTTAGCAAAGGCGTTTGCTTGCTCCAAATTGGATTAGAGCTTTAATTGAATCACAAATTTCTTAAGGCGAGACAAACTTTTGGAACAGATAAATGATTGCCTACTTTTGTGCGTATTGGCAGCGCAAAGCCATTGGGACTACGAGAGTATCAAATGGGCTTGCATTTTTGCAAAAGAAAAGGCTTTGATTGGTAGCTGTCCAAGCAACAACTTTTACATTTTTTTCTATCAGTTCAACGACACTCGCACCTGAAGACAAAGATCCTGAGTGCATACAATATTTGCACTAAAGCATAGTAATGGAAAACGAAGATAACAGCTTAGATTGTTGCCTCCTCTTCTAGTATAAAGGTTTTCATTTGGATCACACTTTTTTACAGGTCTTTCAAAAGAAAGCTTTCTCATGCACTTTGCACTTGGGGTAGTAGTGGAGAATTAACACGCGCTTTCGAAGTAGAGAAATTGTACTAAAGGAAAGTAATGAAGAGTGAAGATAACTGCTTAGCTTGTTTCCTCCTCTCCTAGTATAGAATGGTTTGGATCCATCATAACATCGAAGCTTTTTATTTTGATCACACTCATTTACAGGCCTTTCAAAAGACAGTAATTATACCCCACCCTACACACAACACCTTTGGCTTTGAGAAATTGATCTTTTCAATTTATTAACCGGTCTAATCCACAGCACAGAGCGGTGGCAGCGTCATGTGGGTTTGCTTGGGCGCCTTGGTACTGATGGGCAGTGTTGTTCTACTGAGCTGCCTGGCCAGTCTGCAGCACTACTACTTTGCTCTGCTCGAGTCCATTTTCGGCTATGCCAATGCGCAGCTGCAACAGAACCGGCTGCAACTGGAGCGCCAGGAACGGGAGGCGGCGAGAGTTCACTCCACGATACTGCCGGAGGTGCCGCCACAGAATCTCTATGCCGTTAAAGACAAGCTGAATGTTCACATGGAGCAGTGCTGTGACGTACTGTCCGCCGGTCTGTGCGTCGTGTTGGAGGATGAGGTGACGCCTCGTTTTGCTGCTGCCCATCAATCCGGCGACGCTTGGAATTTGCTGACGCGCACTCTTAGCCACAAGCGACGTTTTCTCAACAAGCGATTGCGTCTGCTCTGGATCTGTGGCCTATTATTGCGCTACAGTCTTCTGCTGCCTTTACGCGTAGTGTCCTGTGCGGCCGCTCTGATCATCATGACCTTTTGTACGGCTGTGCTGGGTCAGTTGCCGAGCTCTGAGTGCAAAAGACGACTCGTAAAGTTGGTGCTACGTCAATGTTTTCGATTGATGGCGTGCTCCATATCGATAGTTAGCAGATTCCATAACACCCAGTATCGACCGTCCATGGGCATATGTGTGTGCAACCATACGAGTCCTTTGGACGTCCTTGTGCTTATGTGCGACGTAAACTACTCGCTGACCGGGCAGCGCCATGGCGGAATACTTGGACTTGTTCAAAGAGCTCTGACGCGTGTCTCCCCACACATGTGGTTCGAGCGACGAGCTCTTGTCGAGCGCGAGGCCTTAGGCATTGTCTTGAGGCTGCATGTGGCAAGGCGTGGCACCCCACCAATCCTTCTTTTCCCAGAGGGCACGTGCATCAACAACACGGCCGTGATGCAGTTCAAAAAGGGAAGCTTTGCTGTAAGTAATATCATCTATCCCATGGCTGTGCGCTATGATCGAAGATTCGGGGAAACCTTCTGGGATAGCAGCAGGTATTCAATGCTACGGTACATGCTCATGGTGATCTCTTCGTGGTCCATATTATGTGATATATGGTATATGCCAGCCCTGCTACGACGACCTAGAGAAACGCCCATTGAATTTGCGAGCCGCGTCAAGGCCGAGATTGCTGCTCAAGCGGGCATTGAGGACTTGCCCTGGGATGGCAACCTGAAGCGATGGAGTCCGAAACGCGACTGGCAGTGAAATGGGAGACTGGAGGAGGCGTTAGCTGCAGCGGCTAACAAAATTGGTTCAATATTTCCATATTTTGTAGTGTTATTAAGAGTATTAAAAGGGCATTTGTAAAACTAAGCCGCCGTTTCATCATCAATGTTAGAGAAAGTATGAGATTCATGATTAAATGGATTCTAAACAGAGAAAGCCTACAAGCTTAAATATCTTTGATCAGGAAAGTATTATTGTCAAGTACTTTAAATATAATTGTAAGGCTTTTCCGATGTCTGACAAAGTTGCTTAACTTAAAAAACTTAAAAAAACTACTAGTTTTTGCTCACCTGCTAGTATCTTCCCGAATTATTACATCTTGTTTAGTGTTTTTAGATTTGCCTGAAGTTGAAATCTATAATTGCTAGATGAAATAACGAACTGATCGAATGCGCTCAATTAAACCAATTAAGCCAAATAAGGCATTTTAGATAAATTGTAGGGTATTCCCATGTCCATTGGGCTTACGTGTGACCCTTTTTCCCCCCTCTACAATTTGTCATTTGGGTTACCATATGCGACCCACAAACCATTCAGATACGACAATATTATCAGTAGTTTCTTTGAGGATATTGTGTAACCAAACTTAATCTGCACAAAGAATTTTATTTCTATATAGTTTCGTTAGAAAGCAGTTTCGGTGCAAAGCAGGATTAGTGATTCAAACAGACAGCGCGACGGACAGAGTGAACACCTTATTTACATTTGTAGACGATGAGTTGTCGCGAAATATTAAACAGTAAGCATTAATCTAATTAGATTAAAGGAACTGTTGTGTGTTAATTAATTATTAATTACAATATAACATTTCACAATGCATTCATTTCATCAACAAGCAAACGAATCTAATAACCTCGAATATATTTATTCTTCGGGCATCATTTCGAGTTCCCAGAAAATCTACGACTACGAATGCGTGGAAAGTTATAAAAGTGGGGCGAGGAACTCATTTAATTATTTCAGAACAGGATTAGTGGGTATAGAAACTTTTAATACATATTTCCATTTAACGCCCTGATTCTTAGGCGTTTATTATTTATGAGTACTCGATTTGTTCCTATCCATAATCATCGATGTTTAGGCAAAAACATCGAAACATTAATTTTAAAAGGAATTTAAAAGCAAACTGAATCTTGTTGAAGACTCAAGTGTTAAAACTAAGTATAAATAATACATAAAAATAAATAAATCGATGTTTTACCGCGATTTATCGAAGAACAATCGATGGCACTTGAGGACAGATCGATTGTGTGAAACATCGATGCTTTATAATATACTTAATTAACAACCCTAGTGTTTATCAATTCGGAAGAATTTCTTAAAAACAATGATGGGCGAAGTCCTCACTCGAAAATTCTGTAACGATTTGGACAAATATTTTACAAAATAACACTATGGAAAAATAAGAGCTTCTTTGATATTCCAATTCTCTTAAGTTCCGAAAAGGATACTCTTAGCAAATTGTTCATAACTCCCGTCATTTTTGAAGTTTTGAAGTTCAATTTTGACAACTTCAACTAAAGCAAGCTATAGCCAGTCTATGCCCATGCTCTGCCAGCAGTTGTGGTTGTTTTTGTGAACATATTGCAAATGGTTGTAAGAGTTATGAAAATGTCACTGATACCGGACGATTTGTCTCGTTTTGAGCCTAGAAGGTCCTGCATATCAAGTTTGGTTATTCCATTCCTCATACTTTTCGAGATCTATCCGTTTATGGAGGACGAACGGACCGATGGGAATACATATATGTAGACTCATCTTGTCATATTATTATACTTTATGGAGTCGGAGTCGAAGAAAGCAAACTCTTTTACCTCTTTGGATACCAAGTAGGCAAATGTGGCAAGAGGGCTACTAACCCATCTATAATGGTTATGATATGATCCGTGCCTGGTGATTTTCTGTGCTATACCTACCGTTTCGGCTGGACTATCTTTCGTTCGTTGAGTCGTATGGAGGCGTTCGGACCGTACCGACCCAGAAGAGCGCTCTGTGACTGCGAGATAGCACCACCGGCACAGCTGGCACTGGCCGCGGTGATGGCAGCAATACCGCTTCGCAACGATGTCCCTAATTCACGGTGATGTGTCCCGATAGCCGATTGTGAGTGCACCGCATAGTCAAGGCCCGGAAGCTCCAAGGAGGCGATCGGATGGATGCGTGTCAGCGAAAGCGTGCTCTCTAGCACAGTGCTGAGCAGCGGAGCGCTGCGCAGAGATCTTAAGCTACCGCGCCGCGTTAAGGGTTCCGGCTTATACATCTAGACATTTAGTTGGGCCCACTTAAAGCGGGCATTGGGATTGCGGAGCCGTCTTGGGGGAGCAGGTACGTACCGGCCGTATCGGGTGTATCGGGCGTATCAGGCGTATGGGCGTAGCTGTCTGCGTGTCCGCGTCTGCTTGACAAACAATTTCACACGTTTGTGCTTTGCGTTGCGTGTCTCTTAACGCTTGCCGCTTGGCGCTAATTGTTTTAGACCGCCGGACGCCCAATTGACGCACACATGCACACACACTCGCACATACACGCACACTATAGCTCTCACTCATTCACGCACCGGCACCGACTCGGGCCTTGGATTTGGTCACGCGGGTCCCCAGCCACCCACTGTTGAAACGTTTTGTGATTGGGCAGGACCCACCTCGTCTACTTCCCCTCGTCCAACCGTACACCTTATGACCAATTACGGTGTTTATGGTGCAAAACTCGCGGGTCACGCGAGCGTTACGGTCACGGCTTAATGGTAAGTGGTAAGTTGGTAGTTGGTAGCTGGTAGTTGGTAGTTGGTAGTTACAGGTTTTCGGGATTTATGTTTAGTTTCTTAAAGGCGCAAGTCGCGTTTTGTTTGCGCAAATGTTTGTACAAATTGGTTGTCGTAGTTTTTTGATCGCTCGCCGCCGGTCTCTGGTCACTGGTCACTGGTGACTGTACTGCTTTGCATAGATTGGGGCTTAAGATTAAGACACGAACTCCAGCTCAACTCGAAGGGTTCAGTTGACAAAAACAGAGTGCTGCTAATCACTAAGCGAATGCACACTAAGTGGAGGTGTTTATGTTTAGTGACCTTAGCCCGCATGAATGCTTTGACTGAAAGAAGCTATCTATTAACTGGACCCACTCTCAGCCCTATTAGTGCCAATGTCTCTCAATAATTTCAATCCATAATTATTTTTAAATAAAAGTCTTCTTCTTGTAAGTTCTATTAACTTCATCTCATTCTTAATTATGGATTTTTTTGGATAAAAACTTAGTCATTTGGGACTTTGAAATATTAATCAGTATATGTTTGTAAATAAAAGTCTTCTTCGGTAATATTAACTTCATCTCATTCTTAATCATGGATTTTGTTGGATAAAAATTTTGAAATATTAATCAGTATATGTTTGAACCCTTCTCAGCCCTGTAGCGCTAATGTCTTTCAATCATTTCAATCTATAATTATTTGTAAATAAATGTCTTCTTCGGTTCACTTCATATCAATAATTTTAATTTTTTATATTCTTAATAATGGATTTTGTTGAATAAATACTTAAAAATATTAATTATTTTATGTTCGAACCATTCTCAGCCCTGTAGAGCTAATGTTTCTCAATGATTTCAATCTACAAGTAATATTATTATTTTCACTTTAAAGCAATCATATCCACAACTTCTTCTCATTCTCAAAAATAGATTTTCTTGGATAAAAACGTAGGGATTTGGGACTTTAAAATATTACTCCGTATATATTTGAACAACTCTCAGTCCCGTTAGCACTAGTGCTTCTCGATGATTCAATCTATAATTATTTGGGAGTAAATGTATTCTACGGTAATTGCTCTTCAAATGAAATATATAATTAGAGTATGATATCAAATTTCATTAGACTGTTCTGTGCTGCCTTGTTCCTTGTTTAGTTTGTTAGACTCTCGCCGCACAAATTCAGGGCAGTCAAGGCAGCTGACCGATGGTTGTTGCTACAAACTAAAATTGACATCTAAATGGGACTATGATGTGCACTTCAAACTTTTGTTAGAATGTTTCTGGACTCACCCATAACTCATCTATGTGCGTATACTTGTTTTAATGATTGAAAAGCTTGATCGTTTGCTATTATTAGTCCTTAACACTCCCATATCTTTCAGATGTTACTTTGTTCTTGCATTAGAAAGAAAGTATTTTAAGTGTAATTGAACCATTTGTTTGGATTGAAAGACCCTATCTGTACTGCTCGAGAGAGAAATACCATTTATGCGGCGCGTTGATGTGCATCATCGGTAATGTGTCTACATTTTCGTAATGTTTTTAATGTTGTCGAGATACTACTAGAATATACTATATAGTATGTACTCATGTAGTATGCAGCTATTATATCATAAGAATGTACGTTAATATATGTATACACAGAGTAAGAGTTCAATATAATCGGATTAGGTACATATTTAAGAAATACAAGTATGTATGCGTGTGTGTAGTACATATACTTGTAGGGATATAGGGATATAGAATATGAATAATAGGTACTTATGCGAACAACTTGTATGTTTGTAACTAACTCACTTGTGTCGAATCTAAGAGAGCGATGATGGCGTTGATTATGGCAATGGCATTGGCAGTGTTGATGCGTTGAAAACGTTTCGTTGGTGTTGTTGCTGCTGTTGCTGTTGTTGTTGTAGTTGTTGCTGCTGCCTTTGCCTTTATCGCTGCGGTGGCTGTTGTTGCTGCTGCTGCTGTTGTTGCTGGCTATTTGTAGCTGCAGCTGACGTTTCCGCAGCACCAACAAACCCCAGCAGCATGCGCTGCTGTCGAATGCGGCGACTCGCCTGGCAGCTACTATTGCTGCTTTGTTTTTCTTTTCAATTCAATTCTCTTCTTTCTTTTTTGTTTTATATTATTTGATTTGATTTAATAAACTTTCGTGTTTGCAAGCTTTGCTTCAATTCAATGTTTTCAATTTGTTTTATTCTTTTGTTAACACTGCACGTGACGTTGTTTTGCGTTGTTATTGCTGTTGTTGTTGTTGTTATTATTACTTCCTTCTTCTCCCGGCCTCGTCGACGGCGTCGACGCCCTATTGGCTATTTATGAGCTGCATTTTATTTACAGTTATGTGCATATCTGGGCTACGATTTGCGATTATGATGAAGTTGGTGAAACGGCTTGAAGACTGGACAACCGTTTGACTGCTTGACTAGCTGACTAGCTGACTAGCTGAATTACTGACTGACCGACTGACTGACTGACTGACTGACTGAGACTGACTGACTGATTGATTGATTTACTGATTAAGTGAGTGACGTGTATACGATTCTGAACGATCAAACAACTGAACCTACTATGAAACGCTGAAGGAATCAAATGGGCAGTCGCATCTTATTTGGCGCCTGCTTGCAATTGCTCCCAGCTCTGGGTTCTTGCCACCGAGTCCAATCCATGTTTACCAAAAGTCTTGCTCTAGGCGTCGTCGATGGCAGCCACGCTCCTTCTCTTCCTCTTCCTCCTCCTCCTCCTTTTTATTTGCACTCACTTTTCACACACATGCACAAAAAACAAAAAAAAATTGCAATGCGCACAGACCAAAAGCGTCGCTCGGCCGCAGCCGTCAGAGCTATTGTTGTTCTTCAACTTCTCTTCTCCTTCTCGCCCTACCACTCTGAATTCCCGCTGTGTGCGTTTTGTTGGCCTCTGTGCTCTGCAAATAGACGAAAGAAAAGAAACGAATGACAAAGGGAATATGCATTAGTATACGAGTAGACATGTATCTACATACGTACATATATTGTATGTATGTATTTTTAGGAAAGCAATGATATACTTGTATGTACATATAGTACATATACAGATATAGCGTAAGTGTGATTCATTATGCGCCCACAGCCGAAATCTTTTTTCAATTTCTTGGGCAACTTAAACACGACAGGACATCAATTATTATCATATTTCCCAGTGGCAGGCGCAGCCGTGGTGAGCCATGATGAGCTCCACACGACGAGGACGCCATGAAAAATTAAAAAAGAAAACAACAACAAATTTTACGATTATAGCCAGAATTTCTGCGGTGGCAGCTGTTAAAGCGCAACAAGGATGGTAAGTTGACGCCATCTCCAGCACCAGCGTCTAGCCCAGCTCTTTTTTTGCACAAGAAAGGATAGCTATGCACAGTGGTCCAAAGCTCAGAATTAGTTGAACTAAACTAGAATGTTGTTTTATTTATATAGAATGAAACATCAGGGTTGATTGGGGTTTTGTAATTTGTGATAAGCATTCCTTCTTTCATTCTTCGTTCCCAGTTTCAGATTTGTATTTGCCTTTCCACCCAACCACCCATCCCTAAGAAATATATACACATATGAAGTGATAATGGACGGCAATCCTCTAAATAAAAAGCACCAGCAAAAAGTGTTAAGGCGGGCGTTATACCTGTTTAGTAGATGCTCTAATTTGGCCAAAATGAGTTTAAATTGTACTTTGACGATTACATAGACCAGTCGAATAAATAAATAATGCAAATTCTAATATTTAGAAGGATTTCGCGAGAAAGGCCCTTCTTCATATTCGCTGTTCGTCTGTAGAACGTTATGCAGTAACCACAACTTAAAAATAATCATAATCTCGCAAGAGAAGAACTAAATGAAAGTAACCTTAAAAGTACTATATTAATACATTTACATTCAGTTGGCAACACATATACATATACTAGTAATAACACGAATAAAACTAGTATACTATAAAATATATATAAAAAATCTTAATTATAAAATATTTAGTTAAAATGAAATAGAACAGATAAAAATTGTTAAGGCATATTGATATCGATTTGAATATTTAATGACTTGCAACGCTAGTATAGAGATTACAAAATATATATTTCTGTACTCAAAAAGATGTCCATAATAGAGAATCCTTAAAATCCTTATTATTATTATTATTATTATTATTCTTTAATCACTTTAATTTTTTAATAAATTGTATTGTAAATTATGTGTAAGGAAGCTCAACATTTTTTTTTTTTTTTAATTTTAAAGAAGTAAATTAAAAACACGTTTCCTTTTAGTATTCTACAGAATTTGAGTTTCAGATTGCTTTGAATTTCATTCTACTGTACCGCAAAGCGGCTCGTTTCCTCAACTGCCTGTCGACTGCCCCCTCCCTGCCCTGCCCAGCTGAAATTTCATTTCTTTTGCGTGAAAGGCGTGTGCACGACGCATGCATATCGAATTCGCAGAGCTCGCTTAGCTCGCTTTGCTTCATTGTCACTTTTGTGTTTTGTGTTTGGTGTTG